TGAAGAGAGGGTAAGGAGGGTAAAATATGGGGGGGAGGGGGAGGGTGAAGTGGGTAGAGGGGATCGAATATATGGTAGCTGAAGGAAACTGGACTTTCACAAAATAGAATATACATATGTTGAATTATAATGTACACCTGAAAATTATACAATTGTATTAACCAATGTTACCCCAATAAACTTAATAAAAAATTAAAAAATGGATGAAACTGCCATATATGCTACAACATGGATGAATCTCAGAAACATTATGCTAAGTGAAATAAGTCAGAAAAGAATGAATATTATATGATTCCACTTATATGAGGTCCCTAGAATGGCAAATGCATAGTAACAGAAGGAATAGAGGTTATCAGGGATTGGAAAATGTTATTGTTTTATGGGTACAAAGTTTCTACTTGAGATGATGAAAATGTTCTGGAAGTGAACAACAGTGATGATTGCACAAAATTGTTAATATATTTAATGCCAGTGAACTGTACACTTAGAAATGGTTAAAATGGTAAGTTTTATGTTATGTTTATTTTACCATGGTAAAAAAAAATTCCTAAACATACACATACATACACAGAAAACAGGAAAAAAATGAAAGAAAACAGGTACCGTACCTTCCAGCGATATAACTAGAACTACATGAAGACAAATAACAAGGAATATCTTGAACATCAATAGAAGTTCTTCAGGTCTACCAACATGACCACATTGCCCACCAGAGAGAAACATCCTGGAATAAAATAAGGAGAAAACATATTACAGCCATAATCATATCCAAAAGGTCAGTTCCTCTACCAAGGCAAACGGCAATCCTGCTTCCTTTAAATTACTCTAGTTCCAGAGAAGTGACAATGCCAGTTGGGCACTGACTACAAAAAGCAAAACCCATGTTTATTCTTAGAGGACTACCCCATGGGATATTATGTTATATTAAAAATGACAAGCAAGGTAGTTCATGCAAATTTATGGAAAACATCAACACATGTAAAATATCAAGAAGAAATCGAAAGCACAAATAAATATTACCACTGTATAAAGGCTAGTTAAAAAACTATGCTAAGAATCAGAAAGGGTCACAGAATCTTATCAATAATCTACTCCTATTTATGTCTAATACTGTAAAAGGATAGATACATTACATTTTCTCTTTATTACATATTAGTTCATTAACACTGCCTTTTTAATAGTCAGGTCAGAATCAACATTTTTTAAACAGCAAAGTTTATATCAGAACTGAATTTAAACGGCTCATTTACCATTCATTTATTCAACAACTATTTATTGAGGGCCAATAAATGTGAGATGTGAGGGTTGAACAGAAGTTAACTAGATGAGATACATGTGGTAGAGGTGGGACAGGGGCTTGGTGGCTCAGCACACAGAATTAGAATTGCAAATGCTAAGACTGTGTCTGTTCCTCTCATGGTGGAGGAACTGGCCAATAGAACCCCATGACAGGCAAGCAGCAGCAGCGGAGGCTGGCATGGGATGCTGAGGGAGGAAGAAGCTAGCCAGAAAATCACAACTTACACAAGGGATCAGGTATAAGCAGTGGGGCAATGAGAGCCCAATGAGTAGGCTCCCTTTACATGACCATAGGGGAAGTGTCTGGGACAGACTAGACTGTGTGTTCTCAGCTGGCAGAGCTCCTGGCCATAGGGCACCCATGAACCCAGCCACCACTGCTGCTTCTGCTAACCAGAGATAGAGTGTGTGTACACAGTGGTGAAGGCTAAAGAGATGAGTTGATAGGTTCTAGCCATGCGATGTCTGAGTGACTTTGGACAGGTTATGCTCAATGGCCAAGATTCCCTATCTAGCAAATTGTGATAAGAGCATCAACCTTATAGTGTTGCTGCGTTGAGTAAACAAGAGATCTTCACACAGTGGCTGGTACCGTGAAGGCACTATAAATGCTAGCTGTACTCTTCACTCATTCGGTCAAATAATATCTATTTTGCATCTAGTATGTGCAGGGTCAGATAGAGCAGTGATTACAGGATTACAGGGATGAGGGCATGAAAAGATGGGGAGAAATTATGATTTCTCAGTCTCAAGGAAAAGGTGCCAATCTTTAAGAATCCTGTAATTTAATAGCCATCACCAGTACCAGGGGGGTGATTCTTTCCTGATCTTAGACCAGCAAGAGAATCCTTTTCCTTCCAAATAGGGCTTACATTTTTTAAATCAATAAATTTTATTATATATTAACAATACACTACATTAATATATTGTAAACTGCCTCTGGTTTGTCTGGTTTAGCACTGTTATCCTCTCTCTGTTCATAATGGCATATTATTGACCCTCCCGAATGAGTCACTCAAAAGAGAATGCTAATAAAGTTGTGCAAAAATGTAGCAATGTCTCTCTGGAGGAAAACTTAAATGTCTGCTATATCTATACAGAATATAGATGAATCTCAGAAATATAATATTAGCTAAAGGAGCCAGACATAAAAGAATGCATATTATACACGGTTCCATTCGTATGAGGAACAAAAGCAAGCAAAATTAATCGATGGAGTATAAGTCGGAGAGTGGTTATCCTTGGAAGTGGAGGGAGGGTGTAGTAATTAGGAGTGGACACAAGGGGGCTTCTGAGGTACAGGTAATATTCTTTGTGCTGGTTACATGGCTGTGTTCAGTCCTTGCAATTCATTGAATTGTACACTTATACATGTGTCATTAGAAGTTTCATTTCAAATTTTAAAAATTAGCCTATATTTTATTTCTAAACTCAGTTCCCTTCCTAAAGCATTGCTCTTTTTTTTTTTTCATGAAAAGCTCTATTTGGTGAACTAAACCTCTACCAAAAAAAAAAAAAAAACCAACCTCTCTCCTATACAAATACCTTAAACTCAACTCAACTCTAAGTCATAGAGCTGACTTAGAAGATTTACTGCACAGGTATCCAATTTTAGTTTTAGAAAGAGTATCAGAGCAGTTTACTTCTGGAAAGGAATCAGAATTCAAACCTATATTCTACAAATGAAGAAAGAGGCCCAACATGCTCTAGGGGATGAGTCAAGGTCATTCGCCTATTTGGTGGGATTCCTACCCCTCATTGCTGGCTTCCTGAAAATTTGTCTCATTGGAAGTAAACTATTTTGAATTCATCAAGTGAAAAACAAATCAACAAATTCAAAATGCTATTATACAATTTCAAAATTTCTGCAAACTCATTCTTGAGTTTTGCCAATTCCTAGGGTAGGACCTAAGTGGTATATAAAATATGGTCAGTTAAATATGTCATAGGACACAGTGACTAGTTATTATAGGCTGTGACTTGGGCCTCTAATCAAAATAAACCATGCCTTTCACTAAAGAGAGCTTTTATTCAACTCCCAAATGAGGGCAGGAAAGGCTAGAATGAAGGATGTTTCCAGCAATCATTCTGAAAAGAGAATATGGATCAAGAAGAATTTAGTTCAGACTAGCCATCGCTGAAAGGATTGGTTTCAATTGTTAAGCCTGGAATATGTTTCCTCAAAGCTGAATATATATTTCCTAATAGGAGAAATTTTGTGGTATTTTAAATAATATAATTCCTATTGCCTTCTGCATAAACTAGAGAATACCCTGTCAGGGCATAAGATTTTCAGGATCTTTGATCAAAGAGAGAAATCTGTGGATTTTGAAACCCTTACTCATTATACATAAGATACATTTTTATCTTTTTCATCTGGAACTTTTCTTCATCTTCTGGTGCAACGTGGGTTAGAGCAATGACTACCTAAGCCATCAATAAAGATAACTTAAATAGCCACTGGTTCTTAGCAAATTTTCAAGGTGCTAAGGATGGCTGGTGAGATAGTATCAATTACAAAGAAAACTATTTGCTAACGTTTAAACAGTAAAATCTAGATCTTGATATTAGACAACCTCTCATTAAAGATTATCCCAGATTCATCTTGATCCAGGGCCCCCTTTGATGGTTATGGACTCCGATATAAATGGCAACCCTTAGAGTTGTACAGTGCAAAAGCTGCATGACTGTGTGCCATGGCCCTGCTTGTACTACTCCAAGAAATTGTTCTAGAGCTCTTTAATTTCATTAAATAGTATCACCATCATATTTTAAAAATCTATATCATCAGTATAACGTTGAATGGTGATAAATGATAAATCTATTTTTATCTAGATATAGAATAATTAAAGAGTAAAATTAAATGGGGGAAATAGCTTGATACCACTGTAGGACAGGTCTGGGTGAGGGTTAGTCTCTGTTACCTCTCTGGTTAACTGGCATAATTTGATTATACCATGGCTGCTATGATGTACACAATAATTAATATTTTTTACTTGAATAACGAGAGGTATGATCATCATTCCCTAAGTCTTCTAGAAAACTTTATGCCTTTGAGATATTTATACTAAGTCCTAAATGTTGGCTAACAAGACTAGCACAAGGGGAAATTAAAAAGAGAGGTACTGAAGAGATTCTCAGTGAAGATAAAGCAAGAATTAAAAAGTGAAAAAGCAATTAATTTGGATCATTCAACTGCCAAAGAAGTTAGAGAAACTCAGAGTTGTTTGGGGGTTTTATTAGAGTTTCTGGTTACATATTTAACTATTTAAAAAAAGAATCATGAAACTTTTCATAAAAGCATAATTCAATTTTGATTGAACTCTTAAGACCTTGATATAGCAAATACCTCAGGGAAAAAAATGTCTTCAGTATTACAGGAATATATTAGGTTAGAGTATTTAGACCAAACAATATTCTAAAACAATAAAATATTTAAAGACAATAAAATATTTTAAAACATTTACTTAAACATATCAAAGAGCTGACAAGATAGAAAAGAATCACCAGGCCAAAGATGAAACTAAAGCAAGAACTCAGAGAGTTAATATATGTGAAGGAGCCACTTTCGCCTGAGGGAATGGGTCTAACGAGGCAAACTTGAGCTCCAGATATGAAATACAAAGAAAAGTTAAATGGAGAAAAGAAATATGCAGTCTAACATACACTTAAACAAAAATGAAAGAGGAGAGGATGGAGCAGAAACAATGCTTGAAATAATAATGACTGAATGACCCCAAAATGGTGAAAAACACCTATTTACAGATTCAAGAAGCCCAAAGAGTCTCTGCAATAGAGATCTACACCTAGATACAAAGTAGTGAAATTGATGAAAGCCAAAGACAAAGAGAAAATCTTGAAAGTAGCCAGAGAAACCAAGACAATTAACCTCCAAAAGAGCAGATATTAGATTGACAGCTATCTTCTCAGAAGCAACAACGGAAGCCAAAAACAAACAAACAAACAAACAAAAACTGTGATATTGTTTACTACCTACAAATCTTCACTGAAATAAATCCTAAAAGATTTGTTCAGGCAAAAGATATAAGATCTGAAATGCAATAAGGAATGAACAAAGAAAGTAGTAGTAGTGCTTGCTTCAGCAGCACATATACTAAAATTGGAAAGTGGTTAATATGTGACCATGCCTATTCCTAACATTTGTAATATACAGGTCAAGAGTTTAAAAGGAGGTCAAGTTTGCCCTTACCCTTACACTAAGGCTCCATCTCAAACTATAAGAGGCTTTGCATACATGTATGGACACCTGAACCCACATATCCAGCTTCTCCTCTCTCTCCTGCAAGCAGCCATCCCTTGGTCATCCTTTAGGTTTAGAGGTATGTACACCTGGTAGCATGGCTTGCTCTGGGGAAAACACTTGCCCAGGTCCTGGAACTAGGCACACAATATTTGGATAGGGA